AATAAATGAAGGGACTGCTTTCAAGCTATGTAAATGAATGAAATAGTGAAACGAGGTATGTGGAAGCTTGAAATAAGGTAACAGGACAAAAAACAAGGACGTTTCGGCATAAAGCCTTCCTCAGCCAACAATAGAAATTTGTTATATTTTCATTTCTATTGTTGGCTGAGGAAGGCTTTATGCCGAAACGTCCTTGTTTTTTGTCCTGTTACCTTATTTCAAGCTTCCACATACCTCGTTTCACTATTTCATCTGGACAACCAGGGTATATTTTCTGACACCCATTTCCCTTTTAAAAAGAAAATGCACAGGACCACTGAGAGAACCTGCTGGCTCTTTTGACTATTCTAGGACTGTTCAAATGTTTGTGTTACCGTAACACAGATTTGTTCCTTCCCTATATGCAAAACCTTCTGCTCTTTCCCCACATGCCTTTTAATATATGGATAACCCCTAAATACAATCAACTGTCAAAATTAGATATGCATGAGGTAGGGAGGGGGGGGGGGAGGGGGAGGAGGGAAGAAAGAAATACAAGTAATTTTTGTTAAACAGATTTCTGGAATGCTATTGACATATTATATCACAAACAATCTCCTAAACTGCTATCATTAATATAAGGATAACCCCTAAATACAATCAACTGACAAAATTAGATATGCATGAGGTAGGGAGGGGGGGGGAGGGGGAGGAGGGAAGAAAGAAATACAAGTAATTCTTGTTAAACAGATTTCTGGAATGCTATTGACATATTATATCACAAACAGTCTCCTAAACTGCTATCATGTCATTCTGTAATTCATAGTTCTACTCAACTCTGCTTTTTTGCTGAACTTTCGAGTAGAACATTAATTTTTTCTATACCACCACCATTACAACAACAAATAAATGGTGCTAGGCTAATAAAAGAAAAGTATATTTTAAAAAAAAAATGACTTAATGTCATAAACTGGATTTATAAATTCTCCTTTAAATACATCCAGATAAGATGTGCAACTAAAATCTGCAAGGATTTTTTTTTCTTTTCTTTATATATGAGAAATGGCTTTCAATGTCTATGGTGAGCTGTCTGCTATATTATTGCACACCCTTACAATCCAACCATTTCCATAGGACCACGCATTATGCTCTGATGGTATTAGCAACTGCTTACAACAATATGAAAGCAAAATCAGGTGGTTGTTTTTTTTTGTTCCTTCAGTGTACACAGGGAGAAAAATTAACGCACTTTGAAAAAAATTCATTAAAAAAAACAAAAATAAAATCTACAATCAGCTCTAATGATACTGCAGCATAAAAACACACATTTGTCACCTCAAAAACAACATGTTTTTTTCCAATGGATTTCTCAATACCGGTACACCACCAACATCAGTTACAACCAGAAACAAAAATGTTAAAATTTGTCAATGACACAAAAATGATTATTGGATCTGCAAATAATAATAATTTTGAAGATGGTTCATTTTAAGATGAAAGGGGTACAGTTATGTAGGAAATGAAATAAGGCTCATGCCGTGATTCTGAACCAGATCTGAATCCAACAAGTGGTGGACTGGAAATAAGTGGATCATTAAGTAAAATGGATAGGTGAAGACCGAATCATTGACTTAGGAATTCAATGGGATTCAAATAATAATGCACCGCCCCATGACTGCAAGGATAAGAGGATTTACTTTAAAGCCCTGCTGGCAACGACCGCTAAGATTTTTATTCTGTACTGAGACGCAGCCGAGGGTTTTGTGAAAACTCATTGAAGAGTTAAACTAAAATGTAGGTGCAATCAAAATATTGTCAACAGCAACGGTACGGTATGTTAATACTAAACACCCATAAACATTTTTGTGGAGCCTGAATAAAGCTTTGAGCCTGTAAGTTCTAAAAGAAAAATAATGCTAACTTCATTATTAATACCGTAACAATAGTACACAGGATACGGTGCTTTCACTTTGAGAAATTTAAAAAAAAAAAAAAAAATTTCAACAGATCTTTCATGCTACAAACATCTTCATGTTACTGCCCAGGACTAAAATTTGCGGAATGCAGATATGACACCAAATCACTGAATCAACATTCTGGTACTTGTCACAAGCTTGGATTATACCAACATCAGTAACTTTCTGTCCATTTCTGGTCAGCAACATTGGGACACACTATGGTCAACAAAATTAAGACACAATGTGGTCAGCAAAGCAATATTGAGTAACACTGTGGTAAGCAACACAGGGCCACACCCAGGTCATCAATTTTGGGCCACATTGTGGTCAGCGAGATTGGGGCACACCTTGGTCATACCTATTGTTAACAGGGGGGGGTCAGTTAAATTGCTCAAATCGCAGTCAACAAAATTGGCCACACTGTGGTCAGATGATCAAAAATAAAAATGATTAAATTTATCTAATGGTTTACAAGAAATACATGTACAACTTAAAGATGAATTAAAACATTAATCATTATGAATACAATGTAAGAATGGGGACTGTAAGTATAGGAACTGTAGGTATAAACTACAGTAGGACACCACAGGATGATATGAGGGGGTAGTCATGAGATTACAATCATGTCTAGAGGAAAATTTGTTACATTTTTCTTTCATCTTACTCATCTCAACTCTCATTTTCAGTAACACTGTTATGTTAGTCAGCCACAAAACAATTTTTTTTCTTCAATAATTATATGTTTAAAAGCAAACAACTTTCTACCAAGCAATAATAATTATTCATTCTTGAGACAAAGTTCAACAATAAAAATAGCTGGCCATAGACATGTAGCATAACCAATAAAAACCAGTTCGAGATTGAATTATTTAGTAATGTCTGAAAGGTGCTATCCCAGTCTGACTTCTCTGTATCACCAGTAAGAAAAACTAGATAGATTCAAGGTCTGACTTCTCTGTATCGCCCAGTAAGAAAAACTAGATAGATTCAAGGTCTGACTTCTCTGTATCAGCCAGTAAGAAAAAACTATACAGATTCAAGGTCTGACTTCTCTGTATCGGCCAGTAAGAAAACCTGGATAGATTCAAGGTCTGACTTCTCTATATCAGCCAGTAAGAAAAACTAGATAGATTCAAGGGAGTTGGAAGTTTATTTTGCTATTTTCTATTTGCCAGCTGAATAACTCCCCGTGGAGTCTATTGCTGCTGAATGTTCCAACAGGTACAAGCACTGTCTGCAAGTAACCGCCTAAACCTAATTACAAAAGTTTTGAACCTTCACTATCAATAATAACTCAACAACGCTAAAATAAACAAATCTGTGATTATTGTGTTGAGGAGTTGACTAGTTGCAATTATTCAATCATAAACTTACAACCAAAAAAAAAATAATTATATAATAAATAAATAAAAATATATATTTAAAAATCATATTCCCTAAATTTTTTAACTATCCCATCTAAAGAAAATTACTGCTCACATCTTTAAATGTGTCTTTGCTCCACAAAGTACAAGGTAGTTTACCCGTTCAGGAATAATTTCTTTAATCAAATACCATCATTAGAATTGGACTATACTTTTAATGCACTATCTCAAACTATAGCCACTGAGCATCCCTAGGCTGTAAAGATATTATTGTGTGCTTCTCATTTCATGATTTTATGTAAAATAATTTTGATAAATCTTGTTAAATACAGACAGAGCTAAATAATAGTTCAGTCTTCTTTTCTGAAATAATTTTGACATAATGATTATAATACTTGCTTTTTATGAATCGAAAGGGGAAAAAAATTACCTAGAAAAAACTTGGACATACCTGAATATTAAACTGATTATTTATATAAATATATATTTAGTGACATCAGATAAAATCTAATAAACATGTACTGTTTAAAAGCATCAGTGTCTAACAAGTGAAACCTGCCGTTCACTGAGTGCAGTGCTCCATGTTGTTGATCATAACAAAACTAAATGCATTTTAATCAAAGTCAACATGGAGGATACTCATATCCATTACATATTTTGGCTTTCTAAAGCATTGGTTTCACT